AAATCTCTGTATGTTTTGTTCCACATACAAGGGACAGGTTTAGTTTTGCACTAAAGCTGTCCGGGTTCAGAATTTATCCACATCTCATCCAAATTTTTTCTAATTTTGGACTTGCTGCTAGGCCCGAAATGTCAAATTTGGAAATTGTAACATTTTTATTTATTACTTGATTTAGACTTTTTTTTGTTTTAATGGGGTATCAATTGCTGATTCCCAAAAAGGCTGAGCATATGGAACAGGCTGTCTGTAACTATTTAGAAGAGGAAGGGTTACAATTACCAGTTTCTAGTGTAGCATCCTGAGCGATTCCAGATTCGAAATATTGCTGCCCGTGAAGCTTTTGTTTCAACTAACTAAAAATTTCCTGGAAGGACATTGTCAGGACAGTCACTTATGGGGAAGAGAGAGAGAGAGAAAATCCAGGGGATTATTTTTGCAAGGTTTCTGCCACTGACCTTCGCTTTATTTCCTTTCTTGCATTGCGACTATTCTCAGCAGCTGAGGAAATGGTGACGAAGCTTCAGGTTCAATTTGCAAGGCTTTTTCTCAAGCTTGGGTGGAGGGAAAGTCAAGAGGACGGATGCTTTAGTTGGGGTTTAACTCCATGCTTTTAAGTTCGTTCTGGCAAAACTGAAACTAAAAGATGGGCTTCTTTTGCATCTTGTGGAGCCAGTACAAATGCAACTTGATTCCTGGAGTAATTCCATCTTAGGTTCGGCCAAGGTTTCTGGTTAAGAGCCCAGGGCCAACAAGAATTCCTGGAAGCTAGATCCTGGGGACAGTCCCTCGGAAGTCCATCCAAATCATCCCAGCTTTGCAATCCAAGGACTGTTTACCTGCAATCCAGACACAAATGGTCTTATCAGCCTTATCATCACAAAGGCATAGATTTTATTTCCAATTTAAACAGCAAGAGACTTTCAAAGACCCAGAAGGTTGTATATATATCTCCCCCCCCCCCCCCAAAAAAAACACCCCAGTACTTTTCCCTTCGGACAAGACCTTCCTCTCTCCTTAAAAGGAGAACCTAACTGAGCTGATTGCCGCTGTGTTCCCAAAGAAGACAAAAACGGTTGACTCTCCACCAAGTATATTTGTTCAAACCGCCTTCCTCTTTTTATAGGCTTCAATCCGGGTGGATTTCTCAGATCTTTTTTTATTTGCACCGTAAAACCGTGGCCAGGTGGATCATCAGCGAGCGCGCACGAAAGCTTCCCCGACGTAGAAGCGAAGCTAAAAGGCCAAAGTCAGAGGCTTCGCACTTCTCCACTTGGCTGCTGTTGTCGGCTTCCCTTCCTCCTGCGGGCCTCGCGTGGCGGGCCCGATTCCCTTCGCTCGGGGAATCGGCAATTGATATCTTCTAAGGCTAGATTAGTCAGAGTAATTCTTGCCGGTAGCCCGGGCCTACTTATTCCGAAGGGGATGGAAAGTCACCCGTGTCCGGTTTAGACGACCGAAGCGGTGGCTCCTCACCGGCGGGAGAGAGTTTCGCCATCGCCCATTTCTTTGGCAATAAGCCCTAGTGGTGAGCCACGCTTCATCCTCCGAAAATCTGCAAGGGAAATTGTCGTCAGGAACTTCAAAACCAAAAAAAAAAGAGAGAGAGAGAGAGAGAAGTTGTTTTTAGGGTGACTAGATTGGGGCTGTACAAATCCGAGCGATTCCCACCACGCTCCGGCAAGAAAGATTTAGAGATGCCTGTCTCTGCCGCCATCGAGCGATCGTCCGGATTTTTGTCAGCCCAGATCCGGTAACTCCAATCTTCTGTTTCCCGCGTTTATTATCGAGGTGCCTTGAAATGTGCGAACCTTAAGGGTCCGTTTGTGCTGTCGCTGAGGGAAGGGGAGGACATCGGAAGAAGAAGTGAAGTGGCCAAGGAAGTGATCCCGTCCTTCTCAAACTTTCTCTCCCGCTCCCCTCAGCAGCCAAGGCACCCACATCTACTCAAAGGGAGGTGAGCGAAAAAGCTCCGAAATCGCAAAAGAAAAAGAGATCGGAGTTTGGGGCGACCGGCAGCGGCAGAGATCCTAAGCAGTCTCATCCTCCCCTCCCTTTTTAAATGCTTCTCTTAGGCATCTTTTAGGGCGCCCTACCTGGGAACCTCAGTCCGCCCCTTACTGCAACTGTCGGAGCTCCCTGAGCAGATGGAGTTACAAGCCGATTCTTTACACGGTTCCTCCTCGGTAGATGCCATCTCGAGGCGCCCAGGCAGCTGAGGACCGCCATCCCCATCCCCGGATCGCTGAGTACACACACCTGTCCCCCCTCCCTGACCAGGCTTGTCGCACGGCTGCTCCACGACAGCCAAAGGACCCCCAGAGCCACCTGACTATCGGTTGTCTCGCTCAGCGAATGACATCGGATCCAATAGATCGGGCTAGGGGGGAGACACGCCCAACTTCCAGGCGCCGTCTTCCTGAATGAATAAACGTCCCCAAAAGTTGAAATCCTTTTAAAAGAATTTTGGAAAAAAATTCTCCCCGCTCCCCAATTCTTCCAAATATTCTGGGGGAAGGTCTCCTTGGGATTAAAGTGGAGGTGGCTTCACTTTGTTCGTTTCCTCCACCTCCCCCAATATCCTCAACTTGGCTATTTCCAGATGTGTCCTTCTCCCAGCAGGCGAAGCCGCTCGGAGTTCTTGTAAGGCTCCAGAGGTGCCTGTCTAAGAAGGGCGAGTTGGCCGCCCCCCCTTTTTTTCCTCGGATGGGGCTCCGAACCTCTGGGAGCGAGCGTCATTTCTTTTTGGAAAAGGTAACCTGGACTTGCCGAAGTTAATGCAAAAGTTGTCTCCCATTCCTACAACCTTCCCGCTTCCTTCTGCTTCTCTTCGCATCTGGCGCTGGGATTCGCTGCATTGACGGACGGACGACACAGAGGATTGCTTCCACCCGCCTCCCGAAACATTATTTGGGCCGCTCAGGGGCATCGAACCAGTCCGCTTTGGAGGAGGTCAATTTTGTGCCAAGTGTCCCAAGAAAGAGACAGGAGCGCTCGATCCGGAATGAGCAGGTTTGAGCTAACCCATTTCGGTGACTGCGGGAGACGGTGCCAAACCTGGAGCTGCGAAGTCGGAGTCAATTCCATAGTTTTGGAAGTGGGACTTTCACGCGGCTTGAAAAAAAAAAAAGAAAAAAAAAAGGAAAAAAAAAAAAAGAATTTCCTCTCGCTAAATAAACAAGGAAAAAATCTCAGAAACTTAAACCCAGTTTTCCCCTCAAATTATTAACCCGCTCTCGTTATGATGATTTCCTGGTATCGTTTTATTTAAGCGCAAGAACGTTAAGTTTTAACGAGGAGAGGAGAATAAAATTCTGCGTAGACTTTGATATTTATTTTCCGGCTGCTTTGTTCCCTGGGTTTAACCCAATATTGAAAAGTGTTTTCAGCTTCTCAGTCCGAAAGAACTAATTTTTTTTTTTAATGTCATTGCATTTATTTTTAAATAGGTATTTCTCGAACAAAACCTCTAATGTCTAATGGTATACTTGAGATATCACATATCCTTCTAATATCGCCGCAGAATTATTTTTATGGCTATTTTTTTTTTGAAATCCACATCATTTTAGACAATTTCGAATTCCTACCTCTCCACTACTCAACCTCAATTAAAACGTTTTTATAATTCACAACATATGGGCTGTATCTAGTTTTTAGCCAGATTTTAATTTGCGTTCGTTTGCTTTGGCTACCTGCCGATTGGACAGATCAGATCGAAAACGGCACATTTCACCTCTAATTCCTAAACGGATTCAATCTCTTAAAAAAGCCCCCTTAACATCCACGAGGATTTCAACAACCACACCCAACAAAAAAGTCCAGTTTGACTTCAAGGCGAACTTTTCCGAGGATCGCCAAAACGAAGGTAAAAATAAAGCAGCGGTTTTTATAGCGGCCGCTAGTGGGTGCTGTCGCTCTATGAAATTACACACAGCTGGCGGCAGGCTAAGATTGGGCTGTGTAAAAAAAAAAAAAAGCGAGACCCGCCGCGCTAGCGCGTCCTCGTTTAATTTCCAAGACTCGGCTCCAAACTTTGTCGCGGGGCTTCCCTTCCAACGAATTCTTGGCCCGTTTTGGGTCCGGCAACCGAACCTAACCGCGCCGCCCATAAAGCCCCCCCCCCCAATGCCAGGGTTTGGGAGGCCGTCTCCAAAGCGATCCCACGAGCGGGCGCAAAAGCGATACAGATGCGCTGCGCGGGAGAACTTGCGCCTTCCGCTCCAAAGCCAGAATACCTCGCGCCCCTTTGGTAGTAAGAACTTGCGCAAGTCGCAGGATTGCACCGGGCGGGTTGGGAAGCGAGCCACACAGCCTTTTTAAGTAAGGGGTTCAAATGCAGCCCCCCCTCCTCCTCCCGGCGCGCTCCTTATTGCCAGCAGCGAGTCCGCAAGGAACTTTCCAGAGCTACGACCTGGCGTCAAATCTAAAAGAGTCGCGGAGTCGGCGGTCAGAGGCCACCTGCTTTTCAGGCAGGAGAAAAATAAAGGCGAAGGCAAAGTTGGCGAGTCCCGAAGGGCGTTCTTGCCTCTCGTGCTAGCCGGCTTGGCGGGGAAACGAGAGAAGTGCGAGACGCTCCCTGCGCTCAATCCTTAAGAAAAGACACCTGCGCCCAACTGAGGGAAACAGCGCTGGCCTTCTCGGCTCCCCAGAGCAGCGCCAGGGCTGAGGCGGCTCGCGCTGCAGGATCGGGCGCGTTACCTGTCCCTCCCTCCCCCTCTTTTCCTCGCGCCGGCCCCGCCCCTTTGGAAGGTGGGCTCCGCTTCTGGGCGTAAGTGACAGAGGCGCCACCCAACCAGCGCAAGAGTTTCTGGAGAAGGGGGGTGGCTGGGTTTATAATGAGGAGGCAGGGCGCGGGAGCGGCGACTCGCAGCTTCACTCTCGCGTTTGGAGTCGAGGAGGAGACCGTGGCAAGAAAGCCCGGCAGCCCGGCAAGACGCGGTCGAGCGAGCCTTGAACCAGAGGAGGAAGAGGGCGGCGGCGGGGGAGGGGAAGGGAAACGGCGGCGGTGGCGGCAGGAGAGAGAAGGCAGCGGCCGCTCTGTGTGGCCCCGGCGACGGCGGCGAATGTGAAGTCGAGGGCGCCTGCCTGGTCTCTCGCTCCGTCTTCTCTTCCTTGCCGTGTCGTCGTTGGCGGCGGTGCGGGCGCTGGGAGCCCGCCGGAAGAGGCATCGCTGCCCTTTGCCGGGCTCGCCCCGCTGAAGAGGGGACGAAAAGCCTTTGGACGCCAGGAATAAGCAGCCTCTTCTGGGCGGCCGGGAGGGCGATGGAAGCCCGCGGATCTGCCGCCCGGCGGCACCGGCTACCTCGCTTTCTCCAGGTGGATTTATAGAAGGGGCGAAGAAAACTGCGGGCGCCGCCGGGGAATTAATTGGGCGTCCTCGCTCGGTTTTTCCTTCGCGCTTCATCCTTGGCAAGGCGAAGCGGGAGCAGCTGAGCGCGGCAGCGGCAGGACTGAGCGACGGGCGGTCCTTAGCGTCGTCGTGCTCCTTTGGCGGCCGACGGGGGTTGAGGGACTCCCGGGGCCGGTTTGCACCTCGCCTGCCTGCCTGCCTTCCTTCCAGCTCGGGATTGCCGTTCCATGCCGGCGGCCGTGCGCTCGACGACTTAAAGCCGGGAGGGCGAGCTCGTTGGCTGCCCGGGATTTGCCTCTGGTGGTGGCTCCTTCGTGCGAGGGGAGATTGTGGACGCCTCCGTTCTTCCGGGCGCCGCGGAGTTGGCGAACCTTTGGGGCAGGACCCGCCGGCGGCGCCCCCGACCATGGTAGCTCGCCGGGGGGGATCCCCGCTCGGGAAATGCTGCTGGGGGATCTGGGTGCTTTTGTGCCGGACGGCGCTGGCCAGCTCTCTGGTGCTGGAGCCCATCTACTGGAACTCCTCCAACTCCAAGTAAGTACCCTGGGGAGGCTCGCTTCTTACCCCAACCCCGGCGAAGGCGGGGAAGGGCTGGCGAGGGCAGCCTCGCTCTCTGACGCGGCCAGGCCCTTCAGGCAGGCCGCGGCGTCGCCGCCGCCATCCGAGCGAGCTTGCGGGAGGGCAAATGAGGCGCAAACCCTGGCGAGAGCCCTCCGTCGGAGAGGCCGGGGAAACGGGACTGCCAACTGGAACAAAACTGGGGGGGGGGGGGGGGGAGAAGGGAGACGCAGTTTAGTCCTCGGTCCTCCTCTCCTAGGTGGGCGCTGAGCCCTTCCAGTGCGGGAAGGAATGTGTGTGTGTGTGTTGGGGGGGACTGTCTCGAAGTATCGTGCAGCGATTTGTTTTTTTTTAATTATTATTTTGTACGCTTCGCTGCATTGGTGGGAGCGACATTCCGCTGCTTTAGAAGCGAAACGCGGAGCGTCTCTTGACCGCGATCCCCGTGCTGGCGTCTGAAGGCTTTCTTTGAAAAGGAACGGAGCCCAGCAAAAGACGCGGCTCGGAATCATTTCTTGGGCGAGGAGGGGGGACAACACATGACGGGCTTGTGGGGCCATGCAGAGTGTTAGTAGCCGGCCTGGTTTCGCCAGAAATGGAGGTCCTTTGAACGGACAAACCAGCCGTCCTTCCCCCCCCCCCCAGAATTGGAGCCTGTTGAGGAAAGGACATGTGTGGAAAAAGTGGGAAGGGATTGACTTTGTAGTCCCAGGTAAAGACTCCCAAGGCTTAAATCAAGGCTCCTTCTAATTTTGTCAGCAGAAATGCGGCCAGGGCGTTGAGGAAAATGTTTGCCTGGCCGAATGTTTTCCCGCTGTTAGTCTTCAGGGATCCAAGCAGAACAAAGATAATAGGCACCCTAGAAAGGGTTGGAAAGAGTTGATGCAAAGAATCAGAAAGTGACATGTGGTGGGAGTTTCCATCCTAAGTCTAATATGATATAATAATGAAGTATAATGCTGTAAGAACATGCTTATCTAAGGGATTTATGCTTAGAATAAAGGGGGGAAAGAATTTGTTTCTTGCCCCTGTTGAATAGTATCTTCCTGCAAATAACTATGTTTAAGCCTGTTAACTTTTGCAGTCTTAAGAAACCATTATTTGAGTTGACTTTTCTGTGTTTTGTTTCTAAAAGAAATGTAGTGGAAATTTCATTCTTTCCTGAGAAAACAATTTTTTAAAAGCCACATCAATCTCTGTGATTTCTTAGCATGTGGTTTATTGAAAATGATTTTAGTGAGATCCGCTTCTCTGCATAACCTCCTAAACTTGCTGGGCATGAACAGACCCACACTTTTCTCTGTAAAATAATTGGAACAGCCCGTCTCACAAGTGTGAAATAGTTTATGAGTTGGGATATACTATCTGCAGCTCTAAAACAACACACATTTGAATTTAAGTCTAAAAGTAAAACTTTGAAGATATGTTCATAAACTAAAATATTCTGATGTCCATCATTTCCCCCCCACTCCGCTATTGATTCTGCCCACTCCTCTCTTTCCCCCAAAGTGTTTTTTTTTTGTCCAAAGCAGCCCTGATAATATAGTTAGTGAAATATTCAGTTAAAACCTGACTAAATGAAGAATGGATCTTTTATTTTCATTAAAATGTGGAAAACTGCTCTATCCTTTGTGAGGATCATGAAATGCTTGTCCAGGTTCAGTAACACTTTCTTCCTTTCCTGAGATATATGTACACTCTTACTACCGCTGGAGAGGGACGCAAAGACCTTATTTTAGCATTCTCTCTGCAACTTAGAAAATGTTTCAATTAAATTCAATTTAAACCAGAAAAGAAGTGCTTGTGTGTATGTGTGTAATTACATGCTGAAGTGCGGAAGTTATCCTAGTATACAATAGTGTTAAGATTAGTCCTAGGAAAAAAAGCAAATTCTTCCATCTTTAGCTGCAGTCTAGTGATTGCATTTTTCCTACAGAGGTCACTCTTCCAGTACATAAAAGTCCACTTAGCTGTACTGTAGTCCTTTCCTTCTCCCTTCAGTTTCCAGGGCTTGCTTGCCTACGTGCTCGGTAACCAAGGGTTCGTTTTCACTATCAAATGATTTACCATTTATAACAGAGGGGCCTTGTCATCAAACTGATTCTTCCATTTTACTTGATAGAAATATTACCAACCGCAAGTTAACTACAATTTAATCAACAGCGCTTCTACTTGTTCGATGCAGCATTTTGAATAAGTAGCGCCCCATGATAGGATTGAAATGTATTGGTATTAATTATTCAGGTTTGTTCATCTCTCTGAGGTAGCATGTGTAAATGGCCTGCACTTTTGATAAATGCATTAGTAACCCTACCCTGTGTGAAATGAGTCTGATTGTCACTTTTAATCAATGTATTGTATTTCTGGGTGCTTTTCTGTTCTGAGCCTGAAGGATAGTATTTTATTTCTTCAAAGAAAGGAAAGATCTTTATAGAGAGATTATTCTTTTTTTCCCTTTGCCTCCCATGACACTCTGCTTAGAAGGATCCAATGTTGATATGTAGAGTTGCAGGCATAAACATACCTTTCATGTGTTTACAGCAGAATAGGATTTACTTCTGAATAAACATGCATAGAATTGCATTGTAATGCTTTTTCATAGTTTGAAGACATAATTGCTAAGCCCTTGTTGCTCAGGGTGAAAGGTTACTATAACTCAGAAATCTGTTGTTCTGCAAGTGATTCGGTGGAAACTTTGTCAAGACCAGGTCCCACTGAATGTGCGGTAATGCCATAGAAGTTGAACCAGCATTCTCTCACGACCTGATTTCCCAAATTTCAGTTCTGTGATTTATATTGGTAACTAGCATATTTAACAGTGGTTAGGAAAAAAAAAATAAGGTGGCTGTCAAATGAGACTTTTACATTAATGTTCCAGCTGTGGCTTAATGCCTCTGTCTGAAAATGCCCTAATCTTTAAAAAAAAAATCATAAGAGATACCACATATGTTGTGCTTTGCTCTCAGATTTTCTTTGTAGGCGATTTCTGTGGTCTTTTCAATCACTTAGAAAACTAGATACAAAGACAAGATAAGCTCTTGAATAGCTCTAGTGACAGAATGAAGAAATTTCTTCCTGCCAACAATTGCCTTGTTTATGTTGGCTTTTTTTAAAAAATCTTTGTAGCCAGTAGGGCGATTTCCCAATTACATATAAACTGAAGTTTTATTAGGTGAGTTTCAGAGTGAAGGGCAGACACATTTACTTATCAGTGAGGTTACTTAAATTTGTCCTTTCTTGCTAAGAGAAGTTATGTCAGCCAAATATTCTGCCAGTGGTGGAACTCTTCTCCTTAAGTTTGACTAATTTGACTAAGGTAAAGCAAACAAATAGCCAAACAGTATCCCCGATAACCTATTACACATAAAATCTGCAGCAGTTAGCCTGAATAAACACCAGCCTGTCAGAGACTGATAAAATGGCCTACAATTGATGGGCCTATTTAAGCTGTCTCTTCAGTAGCATAAACCAGCCTGCTTCTCATTGTTTGTTTCTGAAATTCTTATTCTTGTTTTCAAGGCAAACAAATGCACATTCACTACTGAATGAATAGCTCCTTGAACTGTGCTCTGCAATTTACTATGGGTTAATCTTGTCGGTTTTAATACAGAGTAGGAGGAAAGTGGGGAAATCATGGGAGTGAATTGTGAGTGCCTTCACATCACCATTTCTTGCATTTTGCCAGGATGATAAACTACTTGTAACAGACAGTCTTGTTTTAGAAGGATACAAAAGCTATCAGAGCAATATCTTGAGATAACGTTTGGTAAACCTTCTTCATGATTTATTTAGGAACCCAGAGCCTTGCTTCTTAATCTTAACTATTATTGTCTTGTATGTAATTTATATAGGGACACATGGAAACCACTGCAAATATATTATTTTTGTGAGTTATAGATGGTGCAAATGAAATCTTTATCACTCGTTGGATATTATCTCCCCAAATGTATAGGGTTTAACCGGGAACTCATAAAACTGTCTTCATAATAAAACCATATCTCTATAAAATATATCTGACCTCAATATAGAAAGTTAATGTTATATAATGCAATTAAGTCTATTTTCAGATTTCACTTTAAACCACATTGCCAATTCTGGTTTAAAGGAGTGTAGCCCTAGCTATGATTAATCTGAGAAATATCCACATGCTTAAAGAGATTTACTGATTGCAAGTAGTGACCTCCAGATATGTTGGACTGCAATTCCCATAAGACTAAGTCATGTTGGCTGATAGGTATGGGAGTGGCAATCCAACATCTTTGAAGGACACAAGATGCAATGAGTAACTCAAGCTTTTTTAAAAAAATAGATAATGCTTACTCCACAGCAAAAGGCTATACTTGAGTGCAATTTCTTTTTGCCTTTATATACATTATTATTGCTATTATATGATCAGTTGGAAACATAGTACAGTATGTGTACATACTACTGGTATGTGTACACACACACACACACACACACACACAGAGAGAGAGAGAGAGAGAGAGAGAGAGAGAGAGAAAATATCAAAGCTTCTTACCTGAAACTTTCTGAAGTAAAGCAACTCTTAACTCAGTTTTTTTATTTAACATATGGCATCTTAATTCAGTAATTGCTATAGACAATGCAGTGACTGAAAGTCAAGTTGACTTAGGAAGTTTTCCCCTCTTTTTATATCTTTTTCCTTCTCTGCTCATGATGTTTGATGGGGAAAGTGTAATGGTAGTATACTGTACCATGTGGGGAGTTTATTAAACCAACCTTCCCTTCCTCCCCACCCCACCGTCCCCCCAGCCTGGCTGGCTCTAAGAAAAAAATATTCTTATCAAAACTTTCCTCTTCTGAATCTGGTCTTTTTTTTTTAAGTAAACAAAAATGTTTTTCCACCAATGAACATCCTTCTATGTAGATTCTGTCTTTTCTGTGCAATCAAGTAGATCTTGCTGAAGGGGACTTACCTAATTAAAGTATTTCGATTAAAACCCAAGGGCATAAAT